GTAACGGTTGCCACGTGAGTTTTGTGGTCCTTGCTTCACGCCGCGCAAGTCCCTTGAACTGCAGGCCTTCAGTATCATCGTCAATCGATCCGACTTCGGCCGATGGGCTGTAGGGGCGTTTCCTTCCGCTTGTTTTTGGCTTCGCGGGAGATAGAGAGATAGAGAGATAAATAGATAGAGAGATAGAGAGAGAGAGAGATAGAAAGATAGACAGAGACAGATAGAGAGATAGCGAGATAGACAGAGACAGCTAGAGAGATAGAGGGCAGAGAGAGAGATAGAGGGATAGAGAGATAAAGAGAGAGAGAGAGAGACAGATGGACGGAGAGATAAAGAAATCAGGGATAGAGATAGAGAGACTGAGAGATAGGTAGATAGATCGATAGCTAGCTAGATAGACTTTTAGACAGATAGGCAAACGCGTACGTAGATAGACACATAGAAAGAGGGAATGAGAAAAGGTTAACAGAACAAACAACGAAAGAGAAAGAGAAAGAGACAAGGACACAGAAGAGAAACGAAGAGAAAGAGCATGAGAAAGAGAGAGAGAGAGACAAAGAGAATAGTTCTTACATGTTTGAAACTTCCGCTTCGCCGGCTCTGCTAGGGAGATGGCATGGGGCACGCTTACCACATACCATCTTCGCCAAATCCACATGTCAGTTGATTTCTATTGCTTGTTTCGCCAGCCGTTTTCTAATTGTCCAGAGCTCCTGGGGGCAGGAACAAACATATTGGTGGAAGCTGCTTTTTACCAAGCGCCTGGCTGATGCTGTAACGCCAACTGCCACGTTTGGAGATCCCAGGAGGTTGAGGGGCTTTCGTGTATGTGGGCTCCGCATCGGCGAATATTGCCGCCCGGCGATTCTATCACTCGAGATGCGAAGGTGGGGCAATCACGGATTTTGTTCGAGATAGTTTGCCAAGGTTGGCTCCCAGGAAAGTGTTTTGCGTTTCGTTGCATGTGTGACTTGAGACTCTGCTTTGCGCACGCCACGCGCCGCATTGGATCACAGCAAAGAGTAGGTGTTGTTTGGTAGGGGGTCGAGTTTCAATGGAAATGACAGTGCAGACGTGTGACAGCAATTGCTGTCAGGAGTTGCGTAGGAAGAATGGCGGCCTGAGGAAAAGACACGTGTTGTTTGACCCGTAGCGGCGCAGCTCGTGGATTCGGGGGTGGGTTTGATCAAAGGCACGTTGTCAGCTGCCTTCGCAAACGAGTGCTGCACAGATGAGTCCAACAAGCAGAGGATACTTTAAGTGACAAGCTCGTAGAAGTACTGCCCTGAATGGACTAGCACAGACGGTTGCCAATTCGGGCCGGCTCACATGGCTGCTCGCAGGCTGCGAGTGTTGCAGGCCACTGCAAGCCCGCACTCGCGCCAGGGTCGAAAGCTTGGGCCCTGAGGGTTGCAGGGAGACTGATCTCCTACATGCTCGCATCGAGAATGGTGTGTAAGGTCGAGTTTCAATGGAAAAGACAACGCGAACGTGTGACAGCCATTGCTGTGAGGCTTTGGATTGGCGCACCTGCCTGTGCGGACTGAGGGAAGCACGCATGTTGTTTGACACATAGTGGGGCAGATCAAGGGGCAGTCGGCTGCGCTTGATGAATGCCAACAGGTTCCTATTTGCCTATGCAAACATGTGCTGCGCCGATGGGGCAAACACGGAAATGACACGTGTATGTGACAAGCTCGCCGGGAGTACTGCCTTGAAAGCAATGTGTTAGCACGAACGATTGCCGGCGCGTGTGGTCGCTCGCAGGCTGCGACTATTGCATGTCACTCGCACCAGGGTCGAAAGCTTGGGCCCTGAGGGTTGCAGCAAGATATTTTTATGATCTCGTAAATGCCCGCGATTTGCCGTGAGGCGTTGGATTGGCGCGCCCGCATGCAAAGGCGGGCGGCCAGAGGAGAACAGCCACGCGGGATCACGAATAGTCGGCCGATGGCCCAAACAGGCAAATGATACGCGTAAGTGACAAGCTCGCCGGTGGTGCTGCCTTGAAAATAATGTAATAGCACATGCGATTGCCAGTCCGAGCCGGAACGTGCGGCCGCCCGCAGGCTGCGACTAATGCATGTCAGCGCAAGTCCAAACTCGCGCAGGGGTCGAAAGCTTGGACCCTGAGGGTAGCAGGGAGACTGATCTAGTAAAGCTGACGAGAATGGCATGCGCAACTCAGGGCTTCGGCTTTGACCCTGCGCAGTCCTGAATTCGCTCCACTTGCCGCGGGGCACTTGGTGACCCGGTCTTCAGAGAAGGCCGTGGTTCCCTTTCCACGGAGACATAACGCAAGCACTTCGCAATAAGGCAGGTTGCCCTGGGACCTGCCCACTTTGGTTGCAGACATTCGCATGATTTCCATCCCTGTGCAAGAAGGCGTCCAGTCACAGTGGACTTGACGGAGGTTTCACAAAGAGCGCCTTCGGTTTTGGAAGGCATGGCCTGACAGGCTGTGGCCATTCCAAGTCATCACCATAAACGACCTTGTTGCTTCAGAGATTCCATGTTCGATGTCAAGGGGCAAAACATGTGGTGTTGGATAGGCCGAGGGGCTTGTGTTTGTTGGGGCTGGGGCGCCGTGATACCACGCATGATACCCATTGGTTTCGAGCCATTAGATACACCTCTGTTGCAGCATTGGCAGCGTGTTCAGAGTATTTGTCCCAAAAGGCACACCTAGCCAGCGGTTCGCTTCCCCTCCACATGTGCAGCATGCTTCTGAGGCCATGTCGCAGCTGGGCAGCACAACTCAAAACCGACGATCCGGCCGGAAGATTCAAATCGACTGGGGCAAACCTACCTGGTTGGACCCTTCAAGGATGGGTGTCTATGGATTCCTCACACTCCCATTCGGTGAAACCACTCATTTCCTTGGGATTTTGAGCCATTTTGCCGTCCTTGAACGGAATGGGGGGAGTGCCGGAAAGCCTGGGATCTTGACAACTGGGCATCGAGTGGGATAACTCGTTTTGATCTTCAACTGGGGAGCCAGATTCTTGACTGGGATCCCCTGGAATCTGGAATCTTGATTGCCAGAAGCTCCGCATAGAATCACTGCCAGCGCGCTGTCCCATGTCCGATGTCAGTTTCTGCGAGTTGCAGCTCGACTCAGGAGGAGAAGACGCTGTTGGATGGCCTTTACTTCTCCACCGTGACCCTCAGCACTGTGGGCTATGGCGCCTTCTCCCCGAGTCCCCAAGCCAGGCGCAGCCGAGTTTCTGAGGGGCCGGAAGTGGACTGCGGCAAATGGATGGTGTGAGCCAGCGATATCCAGCGATGCAGACTGTCGAAAGGGAAGATGAGTCGGAACCCAGAGCTTCCTCCATTCCATGCCTCCAAAAGTGGCAGTTTCAATGGATGCCAGCCAGTAATCGATCTTTGGGGACAGTCCAGTAGCCCCTGGCCAAAATCTGGTGGGAAGCCTTGCGCTGTCCACACCGAAAGGCTCCTGATGTGCCCGATGCTCTTCATTGGCGTTGTCTCTGTAGGCAGCATCGCCGGCTCCTGGGCATGAAATCTGCCGCAGGGGCGTCTCGGTTTTTGGATGTGGCCTTGTTGGCCAATTGAAGGTGAGTCTCCATTGCTCCAGCTTGCACCTGCTGGTCCCTCATAAGTGCTGTGAACTTTCCACGAATGAGCGGACGCCCTGAACCAAACTATGGTCCGACCTGAATCTTCGTTGGTTCGCAACATGCTTCCCAGGGCTCCAGGATATGTTTTGTACCACGCCATGGCTTGTGGCGAAACTCGATGGTGTTCTCGTTGGAACCCCCTCACCAATTTGAGGCCCTGGTACTAGAACATGATTACCTCCTCGCAAATCCAGTAGATGTCCGTTCGCTTGGGCATGTGGCAAATCAAATCCAGCTGTTGGAGGCTGGTTGGCGGGTGCCGCCAAGTCCTGGCTGCGGAGGCAGCTGCATTTGCAGCGCTATGATCAACCCACCAAGGCTGTGGCCTCCGTGCCTTTCGGCTTCAGCGAGCGGAGGGCGAGGGAGGGGGTTGAAAGAAATTGGCGACGTTTCTCATTAGATTTGTGGGTTTTGTTCTTGGTGATTGACAAGAAATGGAAAACAATCATAGAGCCCTTCCAACAAACGTGGACAAGAGGATTGTTGGTTCCCTTTCTAGTGCTTCAAATGCAAGCAGCAATCATGGAAATGGACAGGAGGGTATCCTCTTGACAAGCCCCCTTCACTGTCATCATTGTCATAAAAGCGTTGGTACCATCGGGATCTGAACTTGGAAAAGCCGCTGTCGCTTGCGTTGCCATTGGGATTTGGATTTAGAATTTTCTATGACGTTGAAATTAGGTCCGGGGTAGTTGTGCCGTTGGGATTTGCAGGTCGAAACAGTGTTCCTCGTGCCATTTGATGCCATGGGGGAAGCATCTCCTGCGTGCAAACGCGAGTTTGTCCCACATGTTGGGATTTGCTGAGGGTGCCCTCGTAAGACTGTTCGGGCCAGGATGTTGAAGATGGAGTGGGGAGGGGACAAATGATGACAAATGCTTCTTTGTCATTGCCTACGGTCCACGCCCATAGCGTCGCCTCCGTTGCCAGGAGCTGCACAACATCAAATGGGGCATGTCTAATCTGGCACATGCGGGGGGCTCGTCTGTATTTCCAAGAGGTCTCGTTCGGGGTCTCGTCCGAAGGCCCCCTTCCGATGTTACAAACGCGCTGTCTTTTTATAACTTTGCTGGCACTTGCATTCCGTGGTGGTTTGCCAATGGGCAGCTTGCTTGCAGCCTGTGGCCGGATGTCGGTTTTGGGTGCCGGGGCAAGTGCTTTTTGAGCCTTTCGGGCAGCCTGGCATTGAAATGATGCTGCGTTCCCTGCGGGCTATGCTCGCCACACATAAATGGCGGTGACTTCGACAGATCTCTGTATTTCTTCCAAATCTTGGTTCGAGTCATCACCTTCACACCGTCCAGAGTCCAGATGGGTTCGAGTGTATTGCTCAGAGCACCCCGGTGCAGCTGTGACCAAATGGGGTGGGTTGTCAAAATATGGCCCGACTTTGGGCTCTGCCGCCGAAGAAGTCGCTTTTTAACAAAGGATACCAACAAGGGCCCCAAATGTTGACATGGATCTCAGCCCAGGCTAGTTATACTGCTGTTTGCCATTGGCGCCGGCCTGAACTTCAAGTACGTGGGAGGCGAAGACTGGAGCATCCTTGAGGCGCGATCACGTCAGTTTGGAGCTACTAGTAGCCGAGCGTGTGGATTTCGACGTTTTTCGCGGTTTCTCAACTTGGGACCGCCTTGCCAGTTTGTAAGGTGCGTGCGTGCGCGTGTTCGTGCGTGCGCTCGTGTGTGTGTGTGTGTGTCAAAATAGGGACCCCCCAAATTGCGTTTCTGTTTCGATTCCCTTTAAGACCACCCCTCAAATCGACATTCGGCGACTCGTTGTATCAGGCCATCTACTTTGCTGTGGTCACCATGACAACCGTGGGCTACGGAGACTATGCGCCAGTGACCACAGGCGCCCAATGGCGTAGAGACGCTGAATTTGGTTTCCTTTCCTTTCGCTGGCAGCCAATTGCCATCAAGCAGCGGCGGTGTTGGTGTTGTTGAGTCAACGCCAGGCTTATAGAGTAGTCTGGATGTGCCACGGAAGCGTTGGCTTTTTGCTGTTGCCTGGATCTAGACGCAGGTCCAAGCTCTGCAGTGAGGTTGGCCCCTGAAGAACCTTACCCTAGTTGTGAATCAGAAATCTGGAGGGTTCCCTGGAACGGAATTCAATTTCTCAACACGGAACCAGACCTTGCACATGGGAGTTGTCTTAGAAATAGTGGGGACTTCCATTGTTTCTTTGGTTTCCCTGTTGGAGCATCCTAAAAGGTAATACCCAAAAGCCCAGTTTTTTAGTGGCACCCTGGAAAATAACATCAACCATCAAGGCCCCAAAGTGTTCAGGTTCTTTTCCCACCTCGGTCGCAGAAGCGGGAATGACGACTACCCCCACCCTTTTTCGGGCACGTCCGCAGAAAAGCAGAAGCTGATGG